TTTTCTCTGTACATAAAATTTCACACGATTTGTTAATATAATGTCTGATAATAAAAACTTGATAATATTTTCCGGATTTTTGCACTTTATTTGTATCATTGTCGTATGAGAAGTAATCTTGTCCTTATTAGAGATATTGAAACTAATCCAGGGCCACAAACTAGTTTATCCAAACAGACACAACACTGACTCTACATATTGCAGATCTGATTTGTATACTTCCTTGTCATTTTACCTCTTGTACTGGTTTGGTGCTATCTGGTTTCCTTGCTGAGAATAATGCTGACCTGGATGGAGAGTGCTATAAACTTGAAAATGCCATAGAAATCACGTTTGCCAATTTATGTCCATGCAACTTTAGAATGACAACTAGCGAAGGCAGTGTCATTCATGACTTGTTTTTTTATGGTATCCTGATGGCATGAACACTTAAAAATGAAAGTATAATTAACTTGTAATCTTCAAGTGGCTTGAATCTCCTCAAATCTTATTTTTTTTTTTCTTATGGCATTTAATCCACAAGTGTGAATCATAAGATTTTATTTGTACCCAGGCTGTCACAAATTAGCAAAGTTTCATCCAATCAAATTGTCGTTGTAAATATGACCACAAAAATTCTTGAAAGCTCATTGGATAGTTTAAAACAGCTATGATAATGACCAATAACTAATCATAAATTATGTCCATTCTTTCGAAATGATTTTTCTTTTCTTTCCCCAGAATTAGAAGAGCTACCTACCAGAAGCTCCTGACCTTGTCTGATGGCAAACTCAGTGAGTTCATGAAACAAGCGCTATCACATGACCCAGTCAGCCCTGTACTTGTACCCTTGCATTACGAGGCCATGGATCGACGGTTGCGTGCCGTTTTATCAGAAATCCAGAAGTGCATTTCACGCAATGGAGAAAGTCATGTGATGGTAGATGGTCTAGTATTATGAAAAAACAATGTTTTGTAAAAAAAAAAATCCATTCATATTTCTTGTACATCACATGTACATGTTCATTTTACAGATTATATAAACCGTATTTTTAAAAATTAAAATAAAAAATTAGTTAGAATTTGAATATACCTAGAATTCTTGTTATATTGTCATTGGAGCCACATTATTTTTGTTAAACTAATTTCAGCAATGGCAGTCATTTTTCAGTTTCTAAACTTAGCTTTGTCTTTTACAATGAAGACAATTCATTCATTTCTAAAATGATAGACTATTTGAGGGGGATTACATCAACAGGTTTTTTTTCAAACATTTACCAGCAATGTCTTTTCAGAATTGCCTTGTACATTCACCGGCTAAGTTGTGGTTTTAAAGGCTACTTTAGCCTTTTCACCACCAGTTCCTTCTTTTCATCACAAATTCACAAAAAACATTTTCTTCAGAAGATTGGGAAAAAATAACCAAATGTTTCAAGTAAAAACATAAATTGACTCACACTCTGTTTAGCTGCAAAATTAGGGTTCATCTCCAGAAATAAAGAGGAATATAAGAAAAAAGTGCAGACAAATTTGCGCGAGAAAGTCTGGTGGTGAAAAGGTGAAAGATTATTAGTGGATTAGCTACAAACTGGGATTAACAAAATGGTGGATTTGATGACTTATTCAGACCAAATATAATATGGCATCTTTCAAAATTTTCAAAATGTTTTTACAGTTCATTATGCACTGATGATCAGCTATGCATTGATAAAAAAAAATTAAAAATTGTTGTCAAATGATTTTTCCATCTTCTCAAGAGTGATAATTCAAAATAAAAGGTTTGAATATTTAATTTCAGAGGCACACCAGCAGAATTGTTGTTGCTAAGAGTTTCTGGTCCATGATTGGCCAATATTTTTGATGAAATTTGTTTACATAAACACTATAAGATGTGGTTGTTAAGCAACGGCCAGAAAAATGGTAAACCAGCTTGTTTTTCAACTGGTTTGAAGAAATACAGTTTGTTTAGAATCTCCTTTTATTTATTCAAATATTTAGCTTTTGGCAATTCAGACAGCAAAGCTGATTATATTACTACAAATATCAACAATGTTTTCAAATACTTTTTTGACAGCTAATAAAACTGAATAATGAGCTCACAGTATTTTTACTTTTAATAATGAACTAAGCAAGACTAAAATGATTTTGTTGGTTCTAACTAATTCACTTCTTATTTTTGTACTGCTAAAACACTGCATCTAATTGGCTGCTTCGGACTGGTACTTGTATTACAGCTGATAATAAACCAATGAGGATGAAGGTTGTATCTTCAAGGTATGCAAAAGCAGCCATCTTGGATATCACAGAGTATACCAGCAAATTTTCATTGGATAATAGATTGATAATGCAAATTAATATTTGAACTTAAATGTAGTACAATGAAAAATCAATGAACTAACTGAGTAAAATGTACTCTGTAAAAGTAAATGAACTTCAAAAGTACCAGTAAACTTCAACAGATAAAAAGAATATTTTCTATGTTCAGAGTTATACAGTTATAATGTGAAAACAAAAAATTGTATTTCAATTTTTCTGATGAAAGAGGACAAGCCATGTTTTGTGATTGGGGGAGGGGGGTATGCTGTGTTGTTCAATCCTGAATTCCCTGAATTCCTATACTGTAATGGAGAATATGGATAATGAATAAAGACATTTTTGTTAGTTTAAAAACAGTTATTTAGGTATGTTCCTGAGAAGATCATTTAATTGCATATCCGATACAGAATTTGATTGCCCTCCCCCCATACTAATATTGTCCAGTGCTTCTACTGAGGTTGTAACAAAGAAAGTAATAACAAATTACATCAAGCTGCAATGTCAGAATGGAAGGTTTTAATTAGACTGGCGCAGTCGGGGCGATTAATTTGTTTTTGTAGTTTAAATACAATAAAAACAAAATCGTGAAATGGTGTTAGCGCGAAATCACCTGTAACTGCGAAATCACCCCGACTGGTTTATTCTGCATGGCCCTCTATCGACACTGCAGGAACCAGTCGATTTTTCAACGGGTAATTATGTTAATGAGTGTTTTAATTGACAATCATCTAGGCCAATCACAACGTCTCTTCAACTGACCTCTGACCGAAAAGACGTCGGCTGATTGTAGCAGCCGATTTTTTTTTTATTCCACAACTAGTACGAGTTATTTTTTTACACATTGTGATGAATCAGAAACGACGACTACAAACGTGCCGCCATGTTGGGTCTGCAGTGTGACATTTACCATGTTGACCTCATTATGCACGTATTTCCGCGCCCACCTCACTAGAATACGTGCAATTCATGAATATTTAATAGCAATGAATTTCCTGCAGAATAAACCAGTCGGGGTGATTTCGCCCTAACACCTCCATTTCGTGAATTTTTTAATTTTATTTAAACTACAAAAAACAAATTAATCGCCTCGACTGCGCCAGTCTAGGTTTTAATGTGTATCTTATTTCTGTATATACTTACTGTAAAACTTGTAGTTTACTGTGTGTAAAATTGAAATAATCTCTGAAATTTTTCAAAGTTAATAAATTTATTAAAAATAAAATGGCTAGATAGTTTTTCATATTTCAAACTGTATAGCGCCCTCTACAGTCCACATGATCTGCAGGATTTAAAACTAAAATGCTAAAGTATTTATTGTTTGCTCTGTTATGTATTTCTAAAATGATTCTTTTATAAAATAAAATAACATCGTTTGAAACATGATTTTGTTTATTTGTTTGAATAGATGTACTGGAAATTGCGTTTTACTCTATTTAGCCATACCTACTACATACCCAATCGATAGTAACTTCTAGGCATTTCTCGGTCATGACCTTTATTTTTACAGGATCTCAATATTTTGAGATGTTTTAATAGCTCCTCCCAAATAGGAACTAATCAAGGGCTCCCTAGGATTAGGTCGAAAACGCTCAGATTAGTGTTGAAAATACAAGTCGTTTTAGAAATCCCATTTGAACTAAATAGAAGTCTGTTTTGACAATGAATACTCCTCCAAGACAGCGGGAAGCTTGTTTACCACCTGAGGTATTACAATTTAACCTTTTGCTGTGAGAACTGTAGAACTGTGAACTACAGTTCCAAAGGTATGCCGCATGCCGCTTTAGTGTGGGCATCACAATTGCCTATGGCTGAAAACATTTAATTTAAAATTTGCACATGCATATCTTACTCTATTTTGTTAGTATACTACGTTTTAAAACCATATGTATGGCCAGATTGATGATGCTCATTTGATGCTCTGTACTGCCAGATTAGAGATTGGTGATGCTCATTCAATGCTCTGTACT